GAGTCTTCACGGAGACTTCAGGGTTGTCTACCGCTGACGAAGCTTTTTGTTTTTTACCCACAGGTACAGATGACGACTGACAGAACCCTTTCTACGATGCCGTGAGCTTGGAATCAGAAGACTCTGTTGAGGAGGCTTTTAAAAAGTCATAAAATTCTGAGACAATGCCCTTTCCAAAAGGAGTCTTTGTCATCATTTCCTCAAGCCTGGTTAGGGGCGGCCAAGACCTGTAATTTTATTTATTTAGTTATTTATTTTGCTCAATGAAACTCTTTAACTGAAGATATTTGAAAAAATGTTTCAGAGGAATATCATATTTCCTCATCAACTCCTGAACGTCAGAATGGTCTCAATCTAATTTGATGAGCTTTTTCTAAAGTCAAACTCGTATTTGGGAGAGCAATGCCTTCCGGCATCCACGTCTTGAGGAAAGCGCAGGCGTTGGTGTCCTTTGCACCTTCTGGGAGGTTTACTAGCCTAAGATTTGACCTTCTGGATCTTGCATCAGAATCAGAATCATCTTTTTTGGCCAAGTATGTAGAACACACAAGGAATTTGTCTCTGGTAGAGCACGCTGCACAAGTATCATCATAAACAAGGACATGACAAATAAGTATGGAAGGACATTCCGTAATGTAAATGAACTGGTGTGCGGTGGTACCACCCAGTGACAACTGTGAGACAATGTACAAGGTTTCAAGCAGAGCTAAAGTGATCATTGGTAGAATGAAATACTATAACAGTTGTACAGTTGGTGCAGAAAATCATTGAACCATTTTAAAGTGACCAGTAGCAGTATTTGTAGTACAACAAGTGTGCAATTATGCAGATGTCCTTGAGCGCTTTAAAGTGTCTGGTGCTGTGGAATATAGATCAGTGACAGTGGTCCAAGTGAGTACAGAGCTGGAGCTACAATAACTATAACAGGATGCTGTTCCACAGGGTTGTGCAAAATTGCAAAGTTGCAAAGAGCCACTATACAGGTATATTTGGGTTACTGTTTAGGGAGTTAATGGCTAGAGGGAAGAAGCTGTTTAAGTGTCTGCTGGATTTGGTGCGCATGGATCGGTCGCGCCTGCCTGAGGGGAGTAGCTGGAAAAGGTGGTCGGCAGGGTGCGAGGGGTCCAGTAGGATTTTCCGTGCCCTTGTCTTGGTTCTTGCAGTGTGCAAGTCCTCAAGAGTGGGTAGGGCGGTGCCAATGATTTTTTTCCGCCATCCTAACTGGCCGTTGAAGTCGGATTTTGTCCTTTTTTGTGGCGGCCCCAAACCAAACCGTGACGGAAGAACACAGGATTGATTCGATGACTGCTGCGTAGAGCTGTCATCGCACCTCCTGTGGCAGGCCATGCTTCCTCAGCAGCCTCAGGAAGTACATCCTCTGCTGGGCCCTTTTCAGGATGGAGTTGGTGTTGACCTCCCACTTTATGTCCTGGGAGACAGTGATTCCCAGGATCTTGAAGGTCTCAACGGTTGACACAGGGCAGTTGCATAGTGTGAGGGGCGGCTGTGGTGAAGGATGTTTCCTGAAGTCCACTATCATCTCTACCGTCTTGAGCGTGTTCAGCTCTAGGTTGTGTCGGCTGCATCAAGGTCCTTGAGCTTTTCCTCCTTTACCTTGTTCTTATTTTCAAGGCTGGGAACCGTAGCCACGAGGCTATCCATTGTGCTCTGCCTCGGAGATGAAAACCTTTGTGTCCTTCGTCATTCAGAGGATTCACCAATTGCTTTACACACTCCTTCAATCACCGTCAAATCTCCTGCAAAACTCTGCTCTTAATTCTTTGATGGCCTCAAGAATGGGCTGGGGATTACCATTTTCATCAGAGCTCTGGTGTGATGTGTCATCACAGACCCTCTCCCTTCTGCGCTTTTATTTTGGAGAGCCCATTTCCAGGGACCTTTTGTGTCTTTTTCCCTTTAATTACCAGGCTGGGCCAGAGGGAGCTCCCACACCTGCAGCTGATCAGCAATCACCTCCTGCATATAAGAGTTCTGCTGATCTGCAAGCAGGTCCCAGATGATTCTTGCATTATGAGTGGTAGCCATTGCTTCTGCACACGCTTGCCATTTTTGTATTTTTTGTGCATACTCAATTGTTCTTGTTTGTCTTGTTCCAGTGCCTGCCTCCCTGCCCAGCCTGGCTGCACATTTTCCTCCTCGGACCACTTGACCCTGCACCCATCCTTCCCCCATCTCCTTCGCGTTTGGATCCTCTGCCGCCATTACCTTTGCTACCCCTAACATCCGGCTAACTTCACCCTCTGCCATTAGGGTAGAATTCGATGTAACTTCACGCAGTCTTGTTTGTGTGAATTCAATTTTTGATTGTGATGATTACCCTTGTCCTTTACACTGCTTGCCCAACGCAGATGCCATCAGAGTATTTTAGTGACCCTGCAGTTCATTTCAAGTGTTCACTTGTTCAATTTATTGTAGAACATTTTGTAAGATATTAAAGAGGAGCAGGACACCCAACCTGTTAGCACGCCATCATACTGGGAGCCTGTTTCACATATTTGTGTTTATTTTTCAATTACTTTTTCAATATATTTTTTTAATGTATTTATTTTTATTTATTTATTTATTTATTATTACTCAAGATGGCACCATAGTTGGCTGTTGTCTTCAAGTAGTCTTCAGGAACTCTGCTGTTTTTTTTGTTGTTTTTGTCATTTGTTTTACTTACTATATGGTCTTTGTTGTCCTTCGTGGGGAACCATTATGGGCTGTTCTCAGCATTTTGGCCTTGGTCAAAGGAGAGAGGCCTGTGCTTGATGGTTGTGCCTTACTGGCAGCATGTCTGTGCCAGCACTGATTTTGATGGGGGAATGTCGGCGCTATTTGACTGTTGCCACTTGACAGCCACGGGGCGCTTGTGTTTTTTTGTGCCTGTGGTGAGCAACATTTTTCACAGCCCTGTTTTGCTCGGAGGAGATCTCAGTACTGTTGAAAGAGTCTGCCTTAGTGCGGCTGGTGGAGCTGAGGATGAGGAGAGAGGAGCGTTGGCATGGAGTGTGGCTATGTATTTGGATTTGAGTGTTGGCGCTTGGAATTTAAGCGGATTTACGAAGGTGTGACAGAAGACCTCAACCAATCTCTTGTGGTTTTAATTGAACGCTACAGCTTCTTGTTAACTTTCAACTTTAGCCTGTAGCAAATGTGTGTGACGTTATGCATGCTGAAATCATGACGTCTCTGAACCATTGGTGAAAAGAAACTTTCATTGTCTCCTCTTTCATCTATACTGTAACTGCTTCTAACAACATGGTGTATGTAGGAACAGTTGTTACAATTGTATTATTGTCGAGGTTTTATGTTGTACAATGTGTTGTATTAGCTGTTATGAAATTGCTATTTAAATCAAGATGTATAATTTTTTGTTTGTTTGGGGGGGTTCTTTTCCCGCATTTTTCATCGTTTTTCATGGACAACACTTATTCATTCGTATGTTTATGAAGTGTATTTTATAAGTTAGGACTTTAAAAAAACTTTGCTCCCCCAATGCTTTCAATGGCTGTCAATTACACATGGATTATTGCTATTCATGGGCTGCCCCAAATAGCGGGGGTCCTCTGTCAAGTATTTTCTGACACTGAGAACCCAGTAAGCATTGAAACACTGAATCTTGGTTGTAAAGGTGGAGGTGTGCTGAGTGGGTTTTGACTTTCCCTTAGTAAACTAACATGACGTCACTTTTTCCTGTAATCTGTCTTTCTAGGTAATTGCCTTTTCAAAACAGCAGGGTTTGCGCAACTCTCGATCAGAGGATGGTGGCAGCACTGTCAGCTGCTCTGGATCAATTCGATATAGAACCCTTATGGACCAAGACCCATCACCACCTGCCTCCACGAGTGGTGCAATGGAAGGTATGGACTGCTCAAAAATTCGAATCATACCATGTCGCTATGAGATTAATTACCGCACACTCACATATAAATTTAAGCAGGACTTGACAAGGTTCGGGAATGAACCAAATGGTGTTTGGATCCCAGAAATATAGGCAGAGTTAAAACACGTAACAAAAATGTTTATGTAGCATTCTCAGGATGCGGCATGAGTGACAACACGAAGTCCAATTGAAAATGCAGGGTTTAATTCCTGGCAACCCGTGAGATCTGGTCCCACAAACATGAAACATCCAAAGAAGTGGCATTACAAACCAAATAAAAGACAAAACCATGAAGACAATTGATTTAACATAAAATACACGCAAACCTTGTGGGCTCACACCCATAAATGGCTAAACATTTGCCGAAATCCTGTTTGTCTTCTTCGTGCTTCGTATAGTTGGCTCTCGGCACTTTCTTCGTCTAAAAAAATGGCTATACAGAGCTCACACAACATAATAATAATAATTCATTTTATTTAAAAGCGCCTTTCATGCCACCCAAGGACACTGTCCAGACAATGAGGAAATACAATATAAAAATAGATAAGAGAAATATTATATAAAAACAGGACATAAAATCACAAAACATGGGAAATGGAGGCTGCCCCAACCGGCAAAAAGATCCAGCTCACTAGGACCCCCCGGGAGATCCTGGTGAGCCGCCTATCTTGTTCCCGTTGTCCTGCCCCACCGAATCACCTGGTCAGTGTCACTCTGGCCTAGGCTGACCAGGAACTTACGGTAGGGGCTCTCCTTGATTCAGGTGCTGATGAATGTTTTCTGGACTCTGAATTT